AGTCAAGGAATTACATATATATATTGTTTTTCATTACTCTCATCAAAGGAGATTAACTTAATATTGCCACTTGTGTTATTTCCTGTAGAAAAACTAAAATTCAGAAAGAAAAAAAGAGAAAACAAAAAAAACAATTCATTTGAGAATTATTGACATAAAACTAATCCCATCCATATAAAGATCACCTTTATAATAATTAAAGTTCTGTAATTCAATGAGAAACTTCATCTTCCATCTAGATAAATAAACCTGATTGGTTATTTCAGTCCAAGGTAAGATTGCCCTCAAAGTTACTTGCCTCCAATACATTCAATAAAAAGAAGGTTAAATATAAACATATCTCTGCTTCGATGGTGTATTCAGAAGACGATCAACAAGCAATAAATATTTGAAGGAAGAAAAAAAAAATTTTCTACATGCACATCCATAAATCATGTACCACTTTTGTGCTTTATACAGCAATGTAAGTTTTACGCTCTTGAACATTTGTGATCAGATCCAAGCGATTAACATCAGGATAATACTACTTTAATTCATTCTGAAGTAACATTTCATGCCGGACTGATATCAGTTGGAGAACCATTGGAAACCTGGGAGCTTTGGACAACTGTGGGACTCCTTAACAGTACGACGCACTCATGACCCAGCTATGGATCAAACTCAGTACATGCAGGTTCCACAGTTTCCTACTTTTGTCAGTTCACTCAATGTCTTCAGTTGGTATCCACTTCACTTCCCATCGGTTGATCGCACGGCTTCTCATTAGAACTTTGGGATATTCATCATGAAGCATCTCATTAAGTAGAAGGGGATGTGGACCAGTGAACTCCGACGCAATAACTGAATGGTTAACACGTTCGCCGTGAAACCTTAAGGTGTTGATGAATCCTACCTGAAAAATGAAATCCCCATTCATCTTAAAATAAATTACTGTACAGGGTTCATTACTGACATGCTTCCAGATGGATATCACGAAGTTCTAATGAGAAGCCATCTGAAGACATTGGGTGGCAGTCGCACTATATCGCGAATTGATAGAAGTTGGAAACTGTGGGCCACTGAGCCCCGACCCAATGGGTGAATGGTTAACTCATTCGCCGTGAAACCGAAGGTCCTGACTTCGATCTCTGGCCAGGTCGTGGGTGCGCACCGCTTAGGAGTTCCATACCAAGACGAAACAGCTGTCTAGTGCTCCCAGATTTTCAATGGTTCCCCAATTGATGTCAGTCCATGATGAACACAACCTCAAAATCCCCACTTATCTCAAAAACACCCAGTATTAATAATAATAATCATTACGGCTTATAGCTCCGTACATAGATTTATAAGCTTCTAAGGAGTTGGTTTAGGCTGCGCATACAACTAAAACTTTAATTAATTATACCAATTGAGTTTTTAGTTTCTCAGATACACCCTAGCAAACAGACTGACAAGAAAAATGGCATGTAAATTTTAAAAAAACCTTATTCACATTAAACTATGAGTAGAACGGAGAAAATGACGATATGCAGAATATCCTCATATCAATATATAGCTAGTGAAACGTCTGAAGTTGTTTGTAGTTCAATACTTTACAGTACAGTACAAGATTTGCTTTTCAAGTGAATGAAAAAGATAACGATTTAATAAAGAAACGATCAACGTAGAACCTTAAACACAAATGAATAAGCTCAAGTTACCACATTTCATGCAAAGATAAAGTGAATAGAAATAAACTGACATCAAAGTAGATTAAGATTTATGCGAGCAGATTGAACTTGAAAATGAAAGATAGTGAAAATAGTCAAGCTTTAGAAGATGTCAAAGAGTGAATATATTTGTGTCATTGATTGTGCTATCATGCACATGTCTACCCCAAGCAAAATGTTACGCAGCATCATACTGGAGAGAATAAAAGATGTGCTAGATTCAAATTTACGACCGAAACAGGCTGGCTAGCTGACTGGCTTGAGTAAAAACAAATCATTTGCGGATCAAATTGCAACTCTACGCTACACATCGTCATAGAACGAACTGAGCATAGAATAACAGTCAACTAGACCTTTACCTCAACTTCATCCACTTTGAAAAGGCCTTCCTTCGATAGCGTCGACCTAGAAGTAATTTGGCAAGCACCTGCTTCAACACTACGGTATTAGTGCCACAAACATTTATCAACCACATTCAACAGCAGCTATATGGTCTATGAGGATGCTACATGCCAAGTGATTCACAATGGAAAACTCAGTGATGCCTTTAAAGTGAAGACAGGGAGGAGTAAGACAAGGTTGTTGCCTACTATCACCGATGATCGTCCTGATTGTGGTCGAATGGACTGGACTGGATCATGCAACAAACTGTGAGAAGATGGGCATATGCTGGCTGGACCGATGAAAAGAGCCTAGGAGATTGAGATTTCTCCGATGATGACTTATGTCTAATGTCTTGTCGCACAAACTCTAAGATCTACAGGTGAGAACTAACAAGTTGGCAGGAAAGTCAAGGCGAGATGGCAAAGACGGGACTTCGTTCAGGTAAACGTAGAGAAGACAGAGGTGATGAAAATATTCAACCAACAAGAAGAAGAAGAAGCATGAATCACCGTGAACGTGATAAATCTGAAGGAATTCTTCCGTTTCACCTACCTAGGCAAAGCAGAATCGTTTTAACTACAGGTGGCGGCGGTGGCACAGATGAGGACGTCAAATCTAGGTTTTAGAAAAACAGCAGGACAGACCTATATTAATCTGAAATAATCAATGTGGAAATCTACTGCGTTGCACTACACTCAGCATAAAGAACAGAATCCAGATTTTTAACACTTTTGTCAGTGCTTCTATGTGATCGTTGTGAGACTTGGCGCGTTACGCAGAGCATTTCCAACAAACTACAGACATTCATCAACAGCTGCCGCCTACGCTCAGTCGATACTGATACAGAAGATCAGATGGATATATTACTAAGAATAACCAGCAAGGAACTCTGGCTGGCTGACTGGCAACCAACCAACCGACCAAGAACCTATCGCACAAATATGCAGAGGACGAAAGTGGAGACGGATATACACTCAGAGGACCGTTTTTAGGACATCACGCACCAAGCTAGACCAGGCCGTCGAGTGGAAGCCAAATGGGAAAAGATGATTTGGGCGTCCGAGGTGAGGGTAACATGTAGGAGATAGATAGTGTGTTGAAGAAACGAAAGCTTGTGGGCAGTCGTGGCGCCAAGTTAAAAGGGAAGACTGCAGAAAAGAGAGTGAAAAGGAGAAGTGCTAATGAACCCTTATGTTCCACTAGGAACCAAGAGGACAAATAATAGTAATAATTAATTATGCTACTGATTTTATGTCATGCCAACTAGAGACCCCAACCACAGATTCCACTCATCTTGGGGACCCTAACCAGGCAATCTGGCCACCCTGAAACCTCTTCCAACCCAATCCAACGACTTCCCGTAGTATGGCGTGTCGAGTTAGGCGGTGGCTCGGTATGTCCAACACATGGGATTTAACATAGTGGATAAACAAAACACAACAAAGCACTAAAGTCATCCTAAATCAAAATCAATACTCTGACATAGTAAATTTTGCTTCGTTAGTTAATTGGAGGTAATCAGTAGGAAGCTTTGGACCTAGATTTCGCGCTTATTGGCACTCTTTAACAAGGTGTATCTGAAACCCCGATAGAATGAATGTCCCACCTGAGATTTGAACCTGAGTCGTCCAGTATTGGAGTGAGAGACGTTACCATAGCTTATCCGGGTCGCGATAGACCTCCTGTAGGACTGAAATACATACACTGATTAATCACCAGAGAACAAACCAATGTCATGTTGTCTAGTCGTGGGTCCAATGTGGCCATCAAGCTAGGAGGTTTACCCTAATCCTCAAGGTTGCTGACGAGTGCTAACAGGCCCGAAACCTAGGTGAAACAGGACATACTGGCGACTACCTCCAACCAACAAACAATGGTGAGGCTCCTAGCTTAATGGCTACATTGAAAAATGATCGATAGACTTAGATCAGCACTGAGGACTGGACAATATGAGAATGGCAACTCTCCATAGGTCAATCAATGTAAATTTCACTTTCTTCTTTTAACAATTAATCATTCAGCTATTAGAAATGGTATTAACTCTTTCATCTGTAAGGTGAAAGTGGTTTTAATCCGTTTCAATAGTCATTTAAACAAAACTTTGGTAAAATAAATGAATAAAGCTTAACAATGTACTATTTTGGTAATATACAAAATTCGTAATTGCCAAAGAATGAAAAAGAATTTTAAGTGCAATATTCACACATTTCATCCAGTAATTTTAGGTAGTTTTGAAGAGAAAAAAAAGTTGATCAATCAAGATGATAAAATAAAATAAATGGATAATTTTTCTTTTTGATTATCTGAGACAGCTGTGATTTGACAGACTACTAGTAGTAGTAGTAGTAGTAGTAGTAGTAGTAGTAGTAGTAGTAGTAGTAGTAGTAGTAGTAGTAGTAGTAGTAGTGATACTGGATAATCATGATTGAAAGTGAAATGAAGATTTTGACCATGGCGGGATTCGAACCAGAGAGCACTGGGATTTCCAACCCAGCGTCTTATCAACTGACTATATATATATATATATATATATATATATATATATATATATATATATATATATAGTATAGCTCAGTTGGTAGACAGCTAGGCGGGAAACCCAATGGTTACTGGTTCGAATCCCGCCATGGTCCAGATTTTCATTTTACCAAAACTACACCTATCTTAGACAGTCAAATAATAAAATAAATCAATACTTGTATATCAAAGTAGACTGGTTTCAGTGTTTTACAACAACAGCATATGTTTTGAGGTGAACTAAACAGTTGACCTACGGACAAGTCGATATAGTCAAGTCTACTAATGGTCGATTAGTCATGATGTAATCATTACATTCAACTAGTTCAGTTATAAATGATTAATAATCTTTTGAGGAAAATATTCAACTTACTCGATATAGCAAATACTCCTTCTCACCATATAATAATAGTAATAATAATTGTATATCATGTATTACGATCTGATACAAAAGATGACTTATCATAGAGATGATTTGTATTAAAAAATTTTTGTTTACAACTTTTTCCTGATGGACTAATTGAAGATATACTGGTGCTTTTCAATAGTTTATGTTTCTCCTCTGAATTTATAACATCTTCATCATATCCAGGAATGAATACAGGAGAATATTCTTCAGATGGATTTATAACTCCACTAACATCACTATTGGCAGTAGTAGAAGCAGTAAATATACGTCGAAAATGATGTGCACGATAATTACTTAAATCGGCTGCCTCCTCAGATTCACAACGATTTAATAATAAGGGATTTGCAAATAATAACTCATTATTTGACATATCATTTAAAGTATTAGATGGAATAACAGTAAAAGGTAGTTTAGAATAATGAAGACGTGATTCATGATCAACAAGTCCACCAACACCACCACCGATACCTCCACTGCCTAGTGCATATGGTGTTCGTCTGATAAATAATCTACGAAATGGTTCCACAATTCCTGATGGACTAAAACGAACTTTCGATTGACGATAAACACGACTTGGTTTTGTTTAACATATACAGGATTACGAAAATCTGAAAGACTAGTCATCAAACGATCCCAAATACCACTAACACCATCACTTTCAAAATTATTTCCGTGTAGAAATTCACCTTTTCCACTATATTTATACATTTCAACAGAACTCATCAATTTTGAACTATCATTATCATCAATTCCAGGTGTTAATAGTTGAAAATTGGAAACAGCTCGATTCGATTGACCTGATGGTGAACTACGTCTAAGTCTAGTGTCACCAAATATACCACCAACTGTTGAATCATGTGATGGTTCACTGATAACTTCTGAATGAGATGATTGACTAGGTAATGAATTTTCAGGTATAAACATTGATACTAAAATTGCTAACAGGACAAGTGCAGCACCAAATGCAAATGGTGGTCCAGGCATTAATAGCTAAATAAAGCAAAAATTTAATCAAAACACATCCGTGAATACATTGCTGGTTAGAAAAAATAATAATAATCATTAACAAATCTGAGATAATGAGAAAATTTAATTCAGTAACCATAAGCATAAGAATATCATTGAAACCTAAAGTTTAGGGATTCCAACCAAGAAGTTGTCGACCAAAATTCGACTACCTTAGCCAATCAGCTTCAATAAACAGGTGAAATATGAAGTCAGATTATATCATGAGCAGTTGATAGTGGAAAAGAAACACTGATCATTAATATAGGAGTACAACTTGGCCATTGTGATCGATTGTAATTCCATTTTAGTCTGTCTATTAGGTGTGGCACACATTGAAGGAACAGTATCATTTACTGGATAACATCGTTTTGGACACAATCTATTCGTCACATTCATATCAGGTAACTAACTCAACAACCTTCACACAGAGTTTATATACTCCTAATCTTTTCCTCCTTCTCTGTCAGATAACACAACGGTAGTAGAATTTCCACACATCTGGGACAGGTACACAATCAATCATTTCTATTACCGCATGCATTTGGTGCTTGTCAATTCGATAAACAACGACTCGGTTATCAATCTATCCCTCCATTTGACCCCACTAGCTGAATGTGAGTAATTGCATGCACACCTATAGTCGAACTTTTCTCTAAATTTCTTATTGTATTGTATTAGCATCTACCAACCTTGATTTAACCAGCTTTTTGTGCTCTGTTATTCTAATCAACCCTGGTCGACTACTCTCATCTATTCCACTATTCGACCTCACAATCATTGCAAGCGATTTGACAAACCAGATTATTTTGCTGAATTGCATCAATAGGATCGTTTAACTTGTAAAGCTTGTTTCTAAGCGAGTTTCTTGGTTTAAATGCCACTTTAATCCCAATCAGCCTCATTGACAATTCTTCGCAATGCTTCTCAGGTAGATACCTCCCCTATAACATGGTAACACAGCACAGGCTTTGCATTCTCTCCCAACCCTGTCACCATGAGTCGTAGAATTATTATAAATAACACCTGTATTACTACTACTACCACCACCACCACTACTAATACCACTGCTAATATTCTTCTTTCCACTTCTTATGAATTTAGGTGGGTGATTATTGACACGCAAGGTATTCTTCATATGTCTAATTTCTTGTCGTACATTTTATGGTTCTACTAGTAAGCTTTTTCACCCCATCACTCAGGCACTTAACTAAGCCTACTTTAACTGAAATCCAGTGGAAGGATTTGAAGTCGAATTAACAATTCCAATGGGTAGGTTTCCTAAAGACACTAGTCCCTAGACTTCCGTCTTCTGTTCATTTAATCTTGCAATCCAACATTGCTAGCTCACTTTCATCACTTACTAAGTCACAGGTGACTTGGATTGTATTCACTACTGAATTTATATGTGTCAACAACCTGTTGATGTCATCCGATTTCAGTGCTGTAAACGTATCATCTACATATCTGAACCATATCTTTGGAGTATGATTAAATGTGTGAACATCTATCTCTTCCCAACTATCCATAAATATGTCTGTGATGATAGGGGATATTGGTGGTCCCACGGCAACACCTTCAGCTGGTTTATATATTTTATTCTGAAACTTGAAAAGTGTAGATGTCAGGCACAATCGTACTCCTAGAACGATCTCCTCGACCGGCACCTCAGTTCGATGCGTAAGCTCATTGTCAATCTTAAGCCCATTTTTAACTGCCTCTAGAGCCATGTTGATCGGTATATTTGTGTAAAGGCTAGTTATGTCAAAACCAACCATTTCTTTTCATTGTCATACAAGTGTTTTTCATTTAATCTGTCCCTTAAGTCATAAGAGTTGGTAAGTCAAGATTTTGAGTAATTTCTTATTGGGCCTAACACTATTGCTAAAAACTGATTTGTGATACGTTAAGATCCACTCGACCAACTAATTTCTTTCTTATTCAAAAAAAACGAGTTTAAGACATTGAATTCATGTACTGATTGTGCAACTATTGGACCACTAAACTGGAATCTATTTAACGATATTTCGAAACCTTAATTATAATTAGCCATAGAACAGTTTTAGTGTATCGATGCTTTTCTTATACATTTTTGGTGTGCCTAACTTCCTCTGAAGTTGTTATCTCTGACCTCTTATTCTAATTGATCCTTTGAGTTATGCGTATTCATAAATTTCTCTTGATTCCCTCACATGTTAGGTGAGTTTGCTTGCACTTTGCGTAGATTGCATGCGGTGTTAGTAATTCTTACCAACTGTCATCTCTCGATGTTATGTATAAATCAGGCGGCTCTGTATAAAAAAAGCTTCAGGATTTAATGTTGTTCTAGCCTTATAGCAGGCAGCGAAGACAGGACTTCAAGTGAACGTAGAGAAGACAGAGGTGATGAAGATGCACAACCAACACCACCACCAACAACAACAAGCTCCAATCACCATCAATGGGAGGAACTTAAAGGAAGTAGTCTCTTTCACCTATCTAGGCAGCACTGTTTCAACTACAGGCGCCACAGGCACAGACGAAAATGTCAGTCAGAATCGGAAAAGCAAGATAGGCGTTCTTTAGCCTGAAACCAGTGTGGAGAACTTCTGCACTCAGCATGTGGAACAACATCCGGATTTTCAACACCAATTCAGTCAAGTCAGTGCTTCTGTAAGGTTCAGAGACTTGGCGCGTTACGAAAGGGATTTCCAATAAACTACACACATCCATCAACAACTGCCACCTACGCTCACTATATACTGAAGATCAAATGGGATGGCCAGAATAATAAGAATAAGCAACAAGGAATTCTGGCCGGCCAACGAACCAACCAACAACCTATCGCTCAACAAATATGCAGTGGAAGGAAGTGGAGATGGATTGGGCATACACTGAGAAGGCCGACTGGGGACATCACGCGTCAGGCCAGCCAGACACTCGAGTGGAACCCAGATGGGAAGATACGAGTTTGGCGTCCGAGGTGAGGGTGACATGGAGGAGATCGTGTGAGGAGGAAATGAGAGCTTGTGGGCTGTCGTGGAGCCAGGTTAAAAGAGAAGACTGCAGATAACAGAGTGGAATGGGGACGTGCTACTGAAGCCCTATGTTCCATTAGGAACCCAAGGGACAAATAATAATAATAATAATAATAATAATAATAATAATAATAATAATAATAATAATAGCCTTATAGCATTCAGTTGAAGGGTTCTATGGGAATTTATCAATTCACTAAATCCCGCTTTTTATAAATTTGTTGCTTGTTTTTAGATTATGATTATTTTTTGCTTAAAGCATAAATTCAGAGAGAAGAAGAACGCTTGATGATGGCTAACAGTAGAATATTAGATATACATCTCCTTGTATTCAGGATTCTTCAACTGAATTTACCTGCATTCCAGGGAATGATGTTACTACTGAGACTCGAGTCTAGCATCCACCGTTTGAAGTGTCAGTTGAGGAGTCTCAAATAGGATGAAATATGCACTTCAGACTTTACTGCTAGCCACCAATAAATAAATGACACCATAATAAAATCTGAGGCAATATCTCAGGAGCGATCCAAGGAGTGCATATACGTATGCATACCTACAGACACCGACATAATCGGTCTAGTATAATAATAACCCTTAACACGGTTGAAATACTGTCGCTGGGGGTTCATATCCATGAATTGACTTGCACTTTGTTTTGTAGTCACTTTTAACTTAACATGATGAATGGCGTAAAGATACACAGTTGACAATTTTGTGTTCTACATAGAAAGCCTCATACATTACTCGAAGTAGCTCGAGTTTGTAATAGAATGGTTTCAACCAATGATGTAAGAAGATGTCGAAGAACTGATTAAATATATCTCATAGGTGTGCACAAGGCACTTTATTCTCTAAAGTAGTTGTTATTGTACGTTTTTTACAACAGTAAAAGAGGGTCACCATATGGACGTCTATTCTCGAGAATTATTTCTGAAATGGTGGATGATCCTGGTTGTTTTTTTCCTTTTGAGCTGGGTGGTTTAATCGTAAAGCTTCCATTATCTTTCTACATAGCATCAACTTCAGTATGAAGAGAGCTATCAGGATTTCTTTGTGAATGATTGTTTTGTCATTGAATGCACAGACTTCCCCATTGACTGTCACTCTGTTTGACCTCTGACCTTGCAACTGTTTATCTTTTTTCTTATTGGTTGATAGATTTGGTCTATATCTCTATATCTGTTGATTGCTGACTGACTAAATGCCAAGATTTTAAGGACTCTCTGATACTATTTATCTTTCCTCTGTCCGAAATCTCTACATTTTCAAAATACGGACCTAACATGGGAACCAGAAGAGAGATGCATACGTTCAGGTTGCCACACTTCACAGCAACATGTCAATGACAATCAGGTATAGAAAGAGTGACATCAAAGTGGGCAATATTGTGTAGGAAGAGAGAGAACTAAAAAAATACCAGGGTTGGCGAAAATGTTCAAATTTCCCAAAGCGTCAAAGAGAATGCATCTGAGCCGTTGTGATCGACTTCAAGTCCCGTCATAAGAGATCTCCAACTATTGATTCCTACGTTATCGAGGACCGCAGCCAGACAACCTAAGCTTCACCACATGGCTCAGCACAACGGTCTGAGATCTAATGAACCAGTGCCACACTTTGATCTGGTCGCTATGAGCTTTCTTCCAGCCCGAACCTACTTCGGCTGACATTGCACGTTGAGGTAGGTTGGCCTTCACCAAAAAATGTCCAAGCCATGTAACTCGGTCAAGGTTTACAACCCTATCGACTCACTTATCTGCCTTACGCAGTTAGTATCCTTCATTTAGCATGGACACTGCTCACACAGTGATTCTACAAAACGTTAGCAATCCTACGATGACACTTGACTTGTAGTCAAAACCAGTAGTCCCTTCATATCTGCTACTTTCAACGGCTGACTCACAGTTGTATAATAGGGCAGAGGGGACTACTGTGAAGTGTATTCGTCGAATATTTCTTCGGTCTTCTGCATCCGCGTTGAGTTTTCGTCAGCGACCAACTCCTTAAGGCTGATGTAACTCCCAAGTAGGTGAAAAGGTCGATGCATTCTACCACCTGAGTCCCTATCATTAAAATAGGAATGTGGTTGCAGACCAGTTCTGATGGATGGTCTTACACTTGACAGTTGCCAAACGCAAGTCAATCATGCACAGATTTCTGGTCAAAACGTTCAGATGACCCTGAATTTTTTCAGTGTCTTTGTCTAGTCACATAATGTCATCTGAGTACCGAAAGTCAACCAAATGCCCTTAAGGTTATGTTCATGAGAACGTTTATAACGAAGTTACATAGAAACGGTGATAATGGTCATCCACGACAGATACCACTTAGTTGTCATCACTTCTCAAGACAACTCTACATATGCTCTTACAGGTCTGTGTGAGTTCAGGCATAGAGTTTTCATAAGCATTATATTCTGGTCCGGTACTCCCTTCATAGATAAACACTGCCACAACACATCACGGTCGACAGAGTTCGATGCCATCTACAAGTTTGCAAATATGGTAAGTGTCGAACATGGCCAGCACATTACCATTGAGCTAACCACTAGATCAGAATCTAATGGCTCATATTTTCTTACTTCTGTCAGTTCACGATATAGCGTGACCTCCATCCAATGTCGTCGTTGAGTAACTGTTTTCATGTTTAACTTGGTCAACTCTACTGATCGCGACTTCTCATTAGAACTTCAGGAATCATCCCTCGAAGCTAATCACCAATCAGCGCTAGATTAATTCAATCTGGAAGTTTGTGAAAATCGATTGATTGATTTTAGGTTGGAATTCATCATAGATTGACATCATTGGGAAGAACATTGGAAACCTAGGAGCAATGGACAGTTGTTTCGTCCCACTTGGTATGGACTCCTCAGCAGTGCACATCCACGACCTTCAGGTTCCGTGGGTAGCACCTTATTTCAAATAAAATCTCTGCATATTCTCACTGACACTAGGAAGTGAAAGTCAATTTACACCTAAGCATAAGACGCCATTATAACTGAAGTTGCTAAGATGTTTACACAACAATAGATAAAGTAAAATGAAATTGAAATGCATTCAGCAACTTTGTGCATATTTTTACAGCAGGGGTAGTAATGAACCATACCTATTGTGTAAGGGCTATACTAATGATACTACTACCAGTTGCCCAAAGTTCTAACAACCTGCGACATATCAATTGAAAGTCATCACCCTAGGCTCCATAAAGTAAAATGGGCAAGGAAAAAAAATTTGTTTCTTTCTAATACTTTCGGATTTATGCAAAGTGAATGTAACACCGTTAATAAGATCTTCTCTACACCGTATTCACTTTACATGTCTAACTATTAACTTCAATTATGAAATCTACCGTACTGAGTTACTTTAAACCAATGAACAATAATCATATATACACTAATATATTACCTTCTGATAGAAATTAGCTTAACTATTCTTTTGCTTACACTGAGTTATTTTGTGAGACTGAGGGGATTAAGTTGGCAAACAGTATGATATAGTTCACAATGAAATGTAATAAATTGACTATACATAACAAGCTAATTTTACCTGAGTCCAAATTGATTGACTATTTTGTGAGTGTGTGTGTGTGTGTGTGTGTGTGTGTGGATGTGTTGGACCCGATTGGTTGATATTTTGCTTCATATGAGCAACTATTTTCATCTGTTTACATTAATATAGTAAGGTCAAGGTATTCTAACCTAATCATACGATGCGTAATTGTTTTTATATCATACTGTCGTTGATTGGACCAAATTGATCGGTCTCTATTGGCATATTGGCTCCTGTGCGGATGCCTCGATATTGCCAGTGTCCTAACTATGTTAATGATGGATCGTGGCTAGCAGTGGGATCCAGGATGCGTATTTTGTCCTATTTAGGACTCTTCAGCTGGATGTACCTGGCTACCAGTAAGTGATGTTGTTCCACCGGGATTCCGACTCGGGAGCGATCGCTTCAAACGCCAGCGCGTTATCCACTACACCATCGAGCCACGATAGCCACTTCTTGTGCGACAGGTATAGTTTTAGTATAATTGTTTTTATATGATACTGTCGTTGATTAGACCGAATTGATCGGTCTCTATTGGCATATGGGATACTGTGCTCTCATGATAGTAATGATGGATAGTGGGCTAGCAGTGGAATTCAGGATGCGCATTTCATCCTATTTAGGACTTGTCAGCTGGATGTACCTGACTCCCAGCGAGTGGTGTTGTTCCCATCGGGATTCACCAACCACTGGGAGTCAGGTACATCCAGCTGACGAGTCCCAAATAGGATGAAATGCGCATCCTGAATTCCACTGCTAGCTCACTATCCATCATTAGCATAATCATACGATGGTATGGTGTGGCAACTCGAACCGCTATGCAGTAATGCATGGTCCTATGTTGACGATGATGATGATGATGATAGAATGGTACATCAGAGTATGCAACAGAATATCTATAACGCATGCTTCCTTATCCAAACAAATAACGTGAAGTGTAAACAGTCTTCCAGTTCGACTATCACTATTACTGACTAACAATAACATGAAGTTATTCAATGAATCTGAGTTCCCAATCACATCTACGCTCCTCATAGTACTCTATGCTAGTTAAAAAAAAAGAAGTCATCAGCTACTGATTACCGTGGATAAGGGTTAGTGAATATCGAACTATCGTAAGCTTTAATTGTCTGCACTTCAATCTCTATAGCTAAAAGTATGTAACAAGCAACTGTATTATGTGGAATATTACTGTAATTCCATAATAACTTGCTAGAGTTTTGAGGGAGTTGTGTGGATTTGGAAGTATTTCAAGTTGTTATTCATCGTAGACTGATATCAGTTGGAGGAATAAAGGAAACCTAGGAGCAATGGACAACTGTTTCGTCCTAGTATGGGACTCTTCAACAGTGCGCACCCACAACCCCGCCAAGGATCGAGCCCGCGACCTTCACGCTCCATGGCCATTGAAAATATGGACCATTGGATTCTGACCCAGTGGCTCAATGGTAACGTGCTGGCCACGGAGCCTGAACGTCAGGGGTTCGATCAGGGGAGGGCAGGATCGTGGGTGCGCACTGCTATGGAGTCCCATACTAGGACGAAACAGTTGTCCAGTGCTCCCAGGTCTCCTTTGTTCCTTCAACTGATGTCATTCTACGATGAATAACAACTTGAAACTTGCTAAAATGGAATCTCTTCGATTTAATAATGTGTCCGTTATAATAGATCAGCTTTTTCAAGGCGAATCGACAACAACATACAATTACTAAGAAACACTCGGCACCTTTATCAATAAAATCTCTTTGTTCAATTAGACATGCGTTTCGACCATATGATATCGCAGTGTCTACACACACACATGGAACAGGCAGGCTTCAGGAAGTACAAATCATGTGCAGACCAAATTGCAACGCTTCGCATCATCATAGAACAGAGCATAGAATGGCAATCAGCTCTCTGCTTCAACTTCATCGACTTTGAGAAGGCCTTTGACAGCGTCGACCGAGAAGTAATTTGGAAACTGCTTCAATACTACGGAGTACCGCAAACCTTTATCCGCCTCATTCAACAACTATGTGAAGATGCCACATTCCAGCCAAGTAATTCACAATGGGAAGCCCAGTGATGCTTTTGAAGTGAAGACAGGAGTGAAACAAGGTTGCCTACTATCCCCCATGATATTCCTGATTGTGGTCGACTCGACTGGATCATGCAGCAAACAGTGGGCAGCGAGAAGAAGGGGATACACTGGACGACGGAAAAGAACCTAGAAGACTTGGATTTCGCCGATGACTTGTGCCTGATGTCACACAAACTTGAACATCTACAGGCAAAAACTAACAAGTTGATAGAAGAGGCAGCTAAGACGGGACTTCAGGTGAATATAGAGAAAACAGAAGTGATGAAGATACCGCACCACCACCATCAACAACAACAACAACAAACTCCAATCACCATCAATGAGAGAAACTTAAAGGAAGTAACCTCCTTCACTTATCTAGGAAGCAGTGTTTCAACTACAGGCGGGACGGACGAGGACGTCAAAGTCAGAATCGGAAAAGCAAGACAGGCGTTCTTTAGCCTGAAACCAGTGTGGAGAACTTCTGCACTCAGCATGTGGAACAAGATACGGATTTTCAACACCAACGTCAAGTCAGTGCTCTTGTATGGCTCAGAGACTTGGCGCGTCACGAAAGGTATTTCCAATAAACTACAGACATTCATCAACAACTGCTTACGCTGGCTCGCTGCTGAAGATCAGATGGCCAGAAAGAATAAGCAACAAGGAGCTCTGGGAACGAACCAACCAAGAACCTATCATGCAACAAATATGCAGGAGGAAGTGGAGATGGATTGGGCATGCACTGAGAAGGCCGACTGAGGACATCACGCGTCAGGCCCTCGAGTGGAATCCCCATGGGAAGCGACGAGTTGGACGTCCAAGGGTGACATGGAGGAGATCGTGAGAGGAGGAAATGAGAGGTTGTGGGCTGTCGTGGGACCAGGTTCAAAAGATCTCAGAGAACAGAGGTCACTGGAGGCGTGCTACTGAAGCCCTATGTTCCACTAGGAACCCAAGGGACTAATAATAATAATAATAATAATAATAATAATAATAATAAACACACACATAAGCTCAATAGTGCAACCTTCAGATAAATAGTGTATCTTTGAAAGTGTTTAGCTCAACACCAATAAGACATTTAAGATCATAAAGGCATAAAGCTTACAAAGAAAACAAACAAATTTAACAAAATGATACTTACTTCTTGTAAAGTTTGTACACTACTGGGTAACACAAGAGATTTGCTTGGATCTTTATTATTGATTTGCGTACTTGATGTATGCTCATTGAGATCAACCTATGATATATACATATATACATACAATAGAGAAAAAAAGATGTCTATTCTTTCATTGCCATTTAAGAAGAAATATATTTTAGTTGATGAAATCATGAAACTTTAAGATGATAGAGAATATTTGCAAGTCAGGAGGATAATTCTGACACAGAGAGAGCATTTACTAACTTGGCTCAGAAAGAATGAAATAAAAGTGGTGAAAAGTTCTCAGTCCTATCACATCTAATCGACATAGGGTATCATAGATGGTAATAAAGCTTTCAGTATCATTATTCCAAAAACAATACCATATGTACACCTCAGTAACATCTGCTTAACATAACAGAGGTTGTCGCAATAAAATTGATCAAGGCTGAACTCTGTATTCAGAAGAAACATGTGAAAGTGTTACTTCTCCTTTGGCCTACAGTAAACTAAAGGCTATTCCTGTCATCTTATACGTTATCGTTTTGTTCATCATCATAACAATACTGACTAGTTTCTTACTAATCCTATAACCTCACCCCATTTTGAAAATGTACCTATCCCCCCCCCCTTAACATGGTTTGTTTTTACGCTGTACAAAAAAATTTTTATAATTGTAGAACCAGAAGAGAATACTTATTGAAAAGAATATTTTTAGTTGTTCAGATTGTTGCTTTTTATCAATGTTATAGAAATCTTTAGTTGTTTAAAATCTTCCAATTATGACAGTGTTTTATTCTATGAATTGAATAGATTAGTCATGTTTATCATAATTGGTTGATATGAGTCTATGAACAAGTTTTCTGCCTTTTTCATATGATCGTCTTTATGCATGACCATCGTTTCTTAAGAGATCTGTGTACTTTACTGGTTAGTTGAGTACAATTTGACTTTCGGTTGATCAGAGATACAATTTTATTTGTCGTATTTCTTGTTAAGTCTCAGTATTTAGGTCCTGATGGATACGAAGAATTCTAATCCCATTATGAAGACCTAATTGATAAGGAATATATGTCTTAGCTCATCAAGTCTTTTTCTTAATGTCTAAGTGGGAATATTCAATGTATGTCAACAATAGTTGGTGATAACCTCCGGTATATAACAACTCGAACATTAGGAATCTGATCAATTGTTCAGTTTCTTCAACGACGACAAATTGAGTACAAGGCCGTCAAGTTTTATGGCGAGCCAATGGATTAAAATACAGTTGTCAAGTGAGATCATCACACAATGCATAAAAAGGGTGTTGTATAAAGCATTCCCAGACACTAAATTATGTCCCGGCTTCTACAACCACCCTATTCCGCCACTTCTATGTGCATCTATCAGTTCAAGTGCTCCTATGGAGTAAGTTACATTGGGCGTATAATGTGACAGTTCCATCGTCGAATTTCTGAGTACCACCCATCATGGTTGAACAAGGGACAAATTAGAACTATAAACAGCTTCATACTTACACACTTAGTTGATACAGCACATCAAGTGGTTACTGGAAAAAGCCTTCAAAATCATCCATCACATTCCAATTATTTACCTCATGGATTACATACTCGGTTACTTCACATAACAGAGACGATTGCAATCCATCTTTACAAACAAACCTAACCTTTGTATTCAAAAGAAGTTTGTTCCACCACTTTCATTACCGTGACCGTCAACATGATGTAACTTCTAGGTTTACTTTGTACACCTCTTCCCCTTCCCCTTGTTTCTATCAATATTCATATTTCCAATCGTAGTAACTTTACTAATTATTGACATCATTATTTCCGAAATATCGCCACATGATTGGTAATTTGATTAAATTGTAAGACTATGCATATTAATGTAGAGCCCATTATGAAGACCTAATTGATAAGGAATACATGTCTTAGCTCATCCAGTCTTTTTCATTTTCTAATTTAGCCTATCCAATAAAATTAATATATATGATATACAGTGAAGAGAGAAAGAAAACCAGTCGAGAATTTAGTTGACTGAATAAACGATACAGTGAGCAAGGTGTAAATTAAAACTGTATATTAGAATGTACAATATCTATTCCCTAGACTTAACTTAAAAAGTGAAATGTAATGGTCATGCTTTCAAATAACCACATATATAAATCATTATATACTTTTGAAATACTTGCCCTTGTAATAAACATTCTGTTACATTCCCCTTGACTGGAAAATCAAGTGGTGTCCGACTGTCCGACCATAATGCTTAGATCAAACTACAATTGGTAGTCAAGTGTCTTTAGATATATGAAGTTACAACATCAGAAGTGATGTTATTGCTCCGAGATTTGAACCCATAACCCATTGCATCAAATGCCTAAGCGTTAGCCATTACATCACTGTAGAACGAGTATCATTTGTTGGTTGTTTGATACGTATAATTTCCCGTTTGCTATACAGGATGAAATTGCTTTGGCATTTAAAGCGATGAGTATAAGGTACCAGTCTTAGTAGGAACATCACTCACTGGGGTTCAGGTACATCCGGTTGATAAGTCTCAAATAGGACGAAACATAAGCACAACATCATTAATATACAACAGTATCGAGGCATCCATATAGGAGCCCATCCCCATCAGGGGTCGAACAATTCGACGCTGTATAGCAACAGGAAATTACAAGTATGAAAACAACCGTCGTTAATTGAATCGAATTGATCGGTTTCTACCTGCTTCCCAGGTACATTCAGTTGAAGAGTCCCAGATAGGACGAAATGCGCATCCAAGATTCCATAGCTAGCCACTATCTATCATTACTATGAAAACAACCATTACAACATTAAACTTTACCATGTATTAATTTTTTACGTCCCACGTGCCACACACGTAACGTAACACACTATACTTAGTCTTTAAGCATATTCAAACGAAATAAGTTAGTCACTGAACACATAAAGCTAACTTAGAGTAAAGCATATACGCCTTTATGTCACCATCGGTTCAGTGTTCATGCATCTTTGTGCAACTATGCATCACTGGATAAAGCAGTCAACCTCTAGACAACGGGGTTACAGATCCTGAGGTTAACACAGTCAGGTAGGTATTATTAGATGTGACACATACTGTCGTCTACTGTATGAACGCATAAGTGACTGATGAGTACATGAGATTTTTTTTCTCTCAATTTTAAATAATTTTCGATCACTGTATACTCTAGCATTATATTATCATATAAAGTCAATTGACTGAATTCAGAAAAAAAATTTCACCAATTGTTTACACTTGAATATGTGTTCAATAAAACACATACGCACGCACAGATAGATAGATAGACAAACACACCCGAGCACATACACATGAACACTCCACCGTTTCTCTTAACTAAACATATTATAATGCATTTTCACCGTATATATTGTTGTTGTTGTTGTCATTGTATATACTATTAGTTTCAAGTCTGTAGGCAGTGGGGAACTGACAGTCACCTTGTGTCTGTCATTTTTTCAGGATACCACTGCCATCACTTTTCACCTGTGTATTTTTTTTATAACTTCTTTGATGATCAATAAAATTTTAGTAAGCGTGCACATACGTACACATAATTTTACACGTATAACGGTCATATGAATTGATCTCTTGGACATACCAAAAATGTAAGTCTAGTAGTGATGTTAAGCACACTACGACACACATACACACACACACAAGTATACATACAACAGAAAGTAAAACATCACCTAGTGCAATACACACAAGTATGTGAAAAATGAAAAAAAGAAGAAAGATAATTGACTTGATTTTATGAAGGTTGTCATCAGAAAAGAAATTAGGACGGTTGAAGACATCGGGCAATTGACAGGAGGATAAAATGATATCGAAGTTACTTTGTAGAATGGATTTACACGTTCATTATGTTGGTCCAACAAACTAGTAACATAACACATTAAAGTGTTATTGCTTGTATTACACCGTCGTTGATTGGACTGAATTGATCAGTCTCTCTTGACATATGGGCTCCTGTGCAGATGCCTCGATATTGCCTGTGTTTTAATCATGTATACTAATGATGGGTAGTGGCTAGTAATGGAATCCAGGATGCACATTTCGTCCTATTTGGGACTCATCAGCTGGATGTGCCTGACTTCCAGTGAGTGATGTTGTTCTCGGACCCGATTTCGAGTCCCGGTGGGTACATCACTTACTGGGAGGCAGGTACATCCAGCTGACGAGTCCCAAATAGGACGAAATGCGCATCCTGGATTCCACTGCTCATCATTACTATACATAACACATTAAACGTGAGATTATGAGTAACAGAAGAGGGTTGATGAAAAAGTTGGGCGTTCACGACAGGTCAGCTTTATATATTCGATATATATAAATACGATTGATTGTACAGCTTAAGAAAATGATATCGTCGAAAAAGAAAATTTTCTTCGCTGAATTATCTCTTCTCTATGACTCAATGGGCATGTTTCGTAGATATTCGAAAAGTTTTACATTCGAATAGTGAATTTGAATGACGAGCATCTACGGGATATGTTGCAATAAGGATAGTCAAACATGAGCATAGTATCAATAGTGTCTAACGAGCTTTCTATCCTAATTTTTCATTTCAACTTTATATACCCACACACACACAAAGAACTGTCATTTCACTTGGTGGGGGCCAACAGTGAAATCCAAGACGTACATTTCGTCCTATTTAGGACTTGTCAGTTAGATGTGCTTGCTTTCTAAAGAGTGATGCTGTTATCACTAAGACTTGAACAAAGGAGTGAATGCATGTCAGCCACTGTGAACGATTTATGTGTATGTCATCAAGGTTCTTGAAATATCGACTGTCAAAATCTCGACAACTACAGTCTGGTAGTGTACATCTTCGTGGCATTTCTCCCGTGTACTGGAATCATTAAGTGAGCAATGTTGAGGTCAGGCGAAGAGTGCTAAAAGAGTCGATTGGTGAAGTTGTGAACCTTCATCGACTGATGTGGCTTGAATATGTACTGCGCATGTCTGGCAACACTCGATGAAGTGTAGGGAGATGTAAACTGCCTAGTTGAGGTCCTCAAGGTTATAGGAATGAATGGTCGAGGAAT